CGTCACCAAAGAGGTAACTACTTCAATTAGATTTATTAAATTTTTCATATGAAAAGTTTCTAATTGTTATTTCTGCTGCTTTGGTGGGACCATAAAGCCAACAAAAATCCCACAATTACAAACAGGTATGATTAAGTTTTATTGTTTGTTTTTTTTTACGGTTATTTAAAATTCATTCCACTTTTCATAAACACCCTTATCATTCTTATTCTTCATAGGACCTGGATGACAACGATGACTACATGAACACTGCAGACTTGAACATTTATGGAAACGTGTAAAAATGTAAAAACTGATGATCAAAGTAAAAAGCCAGAGTAATTATTAGCATCCTTTGTTTCCACAAACAGGTTGTGTTCTTTTTGCTGATCTGATTTATTGGTGAGTTAAGGCACATGCTTTACATATATTCAGATTTAAGGCTTTATAATACCACTTATGCTAACATGCGCTACGTTTACTGCACCCACTGTGGCATCCCTACCAACAAAAATGAAAGGGTGTGTGTGCTAATAGTAATTATTTGTATAAATCACAAATTTTGTTGGCCCAACAAGCCAAAGACAATCTGTCATATCATCATATAACATGAACTCCTTGCTTTATGTTCCCCATCTTGTACTTTGAGCAATTTCATGCATATTGTATTGAAGAAAAATGTGTATTACACATTCTGCATTTTGTATTGCACAGCTGATATGTCTTTTGATAAGCAATATGTAACTGAAAGTGACATGTGAAACATGCACATTATTCCACGTTGTAATATGTTTTATAATTATGGTGCATGTTTTGAAATAAATGCATTTGAGAAAATTATTGCCTCTTTATTAAATGTTTATTTTCCAAAGAATTTTTTTAAAGTTCAAAACAATGAAATACCTAGTCAATATTAATTACAAATAACTATTATGAAGTAAAAAAAGGAAAAAAATACTCTGTAAGAGTTAATATTAAGATCTAACACTGAATTAGTAAGTGTTAAATGATTAACTCCAGCAGATTTGATATTTGACACTTAATTGGAGTTGAGGTACCAACTCTCCAAAAAGAGTCAAATGAACACTTTCTGGTGTGGACCCATACAGACACTTTAAAAGTGTTGAAGTCAAAGCTGACAGAGTTAATTTGGGCCTGCTGGATTTGCTGTGTACACCAGATTACTGCAAAAACCTATAGAATTAAGAATTACTTAAAAAGAACCAGACTGAGGCTAAAAGATCCAAAAACAACACATTTAAAGAACAGATGAGGAGCAAAGCGAATGACAGATTATCAGGCTGAAATATCTTACAAAACCATGCCTGAGACCTGAGGTGGTGTTAAAACCTCCCCAGGTAGGCAGCAGGCCAAAGGCTCCCCAATAACACAATCACCATGTGGAACAGGATGTCTAGAGTCTGTCTCAGACGCAAAAAAAAAAAAAAAAAAATAGACACTGTGCTATCAGTTTTTTTCCCTCTGCTACACAATCAAAAATAATTATTTTTATCTCAGTGACATTAGAGTTGTGATTCAGTAATTATTTTTATTTCTTTACGTCTCTAAATGCAGAACTGAAAATAATTCTGTGTTTTCCCCTGTGGATTTCCAATAGACTTGCAGAGTGTTATTTTGGCAGTGAAAGACATTCTTTTTTATGACTTTAGGCTGTTTCTCCAAAACAATTTGCGTAGTTTCTGTTCTTCTTTAACCTTCCCAGAAGGTCTAGTTGGAGCCAACTCTTGGCACTGTTTATGGCTTTGCAATAACATTATTTAGAAGCCAAAATTTTTTATTTATTTATTTTACATTCTACATAAATTACTTCAGGGCAGCACAGTGGCGCAGTTGGTAGCCCTGTTGCCTTGCAGCAAGAAGGTCCTGGGTCCGATTCCCGGCCCGGGGTCTTTCTGCATGTTCCGTGTGTGCATGGGTTCCCTCCGGGTTCTCCGGCTTCCTCCCACAGTCCAAAAACATGACTGTCAGGTTAATTGGTCTTTTCAAATTCTCCTCAGGTGTTAGTGAGTCTGTGCCTGGTTGTTTGTCCTGTTTGTCTCTGTGTTGCCCTGCGACAGACTGGCGACCTGTCCAGGGTGACGCCACCTCTCGCATGGAACGCAGGTGTAAATGAAGATTAGTTTAAAATAAATAATGAGCAACTAACCCTTAATAGATTCGCAGGATGAGCATAAAGATTGTATGTATAAAATATAAGAGTCAACTATTGTTATTTTCCTTGATGCAAATAACACAACCAGTGCATTCAATGACCAAATTTGACTGCTTATTGGCAAGAAATGCCTTAAATATGATAGATCACCATGTCTATGGTAAAGCCAATCTGAACATTTTGCATATTTGAAAATATAAATGTTGCAGATGTGTTTCTCCTATTTATTTATTTTTACAACTCAAACAAGACTTCAATGTGTCATCTCAGATAAGTTATTTTAATAAATGTGTTTTCACTTCAGCTGCCAATTAACTTCAGAAAAAGCAGAACTGAAAATCAGTCACTGAGTGTGATAGCTATTTTCTCAACCTACATGAAAAGAGAACAACAGACAACGTTTGAATTTTCAAGCAAGTCTTTTGCCAAAGGAGAAGGCACAGCAGACCGCTTCCTCAAGGTTTCTTTTTTATATACATGAAGCATTCAAATACTAACCTAGCTGGGTTTTTCTGCCTTAGAAAAACCCAGGCAGAAGCATAGTAGGAAAAGAATGTGAAGGGAGAACAAAGGAAGATCTATACACGGGCCGTGTAGGGAGTATCCCAAGATAAGAAATGGTTGCAGGTTCAAGGTCTAACAAGTTCCTTTTCTCAGGGATGTGAATACTAAATCTACTAAAACTACAAATGTAAGAATGACAACAAAACATAATTATTCTAACAGAGTGTTGTCAAAACATTGAAATGTTAATTCAAAAAGTTAATCTGAGGGAAGAACACGAAGCAACAATGAGAAAAACTTGTAGAGCGTTAAGAGATAAGTAAATGAAGATGGCTGGAGCAGATCACTAGTGTAAAGGAGAAACTTTATAATACACTCTTGTTCAGTTGCTTGTTAATACAAACAACAAATCACTATTAAACCAGCCAGTCCTTTACGATGTCGGCTTTGTAGATCTTTAGTCTTACATTTTGCCCAATATTCTTTACAAAATTACTCAAGCTCAGTCAGATTGCACCACTGTAATTCAAATTTTTAATTGAATAAGCATCTTCTGTTTCTATAAGTAGATTTGCCTGCTTAAACTCACTGTCTAATCAGTTTGACAATAATCTCCAATTGACATACATTTATCATTTAAATGCCTTTAACATGTAATGTGTCTTGCCTCAGATTGTAACGATAAAGGCAGACGGAGTAGGGAATTGAACCAGTAACCTGCCACTTGCAGGACAAACTCCTACCAACATTGCCACCATCATTCCGTAATCCTATTTGACTTAAAGTATACAACACATTCTCAGTTTTATTGCTTTGCAGCCATGCTACGCTAATTCTGGAGTCAAGAGTACTTTGGTGAATTAGCCAAGCAAGAAATGCATTGGTGACATTGACAGAAAAACCCAGCTAGGTTAGTATTTGAATGCTTCATGTATATAAAAAAGAAAAATGTAAAATCAGTCATAAGTTCATAGTAGAAACCTGAACTCATCATTGTTCTATTGTAACATCATAGCTTGTGCAGGTGTCATGATGTTATGCTAAGGCCACACCAGAGACATACAAAGCAAGTCAGTGATCAACACCATAATATCCCTCCAAAATGTCTTGGTCTAGTCATTATCCAGAACCAGTCATTTTTAAACACATTCTTTTCTGCAAAGTCACTTTTAATACAGGCAACCTTGTAAAGAATTATTTCAGTGTTTATTTTTATCTGGTATCCAGTTACACAGAAACTGGGATCACAACTTTACCATGTGACCATGTGACACACTTTACACATTCAAAAGAGAATATTCAAATTGAGCAGGTCTTCATAGTTAGCCAACAGATGTGATGAGGTTTTACTTCGAGTCTATTGTTTGCCTGTTTGTCTTTTCTTGTGTTATTTTCCAGTTGGCGCATGAACACACAACTGTGTCTCAAACATGAAACATGTAAATGGAAAAAAAAAATTGCAGCATTTTCTCCTGTGTCAGCAGATTGGTTCCTTCACAGTGTGAACTGGCAGCATTCTCTCACCAATACATAAATAGCGCGACTGTTTGATCACATTTTTATTCAACTGGGGCTGAGATCAGCAAAGCAGCTCTCTTATAGGGTAAGACTGAAAACCTTACATGCTACTTAAATATGGGTTCAAATTGCAGATAATATTACAGCAATGTAAATTTTGATGGATATGGGTTTTTCTTTGTATGGCTCATCACAGGATATACTATTGAGTTAGTCTGTTCCTTCTGGAGGGACTTTTCTTTGTATTCATTTATTCAACTTTATAGTGCCCTGTTTTATTTCACTGTTTCTTTGAGACTTTTATGACTGTAGTTATTCAAGATACATTTTCTTACCATGAAAGATACCCAGGTTCATAATTTTATAAGGTGATGCAGAAACATGGAGAGTTAATTCATTTTGTAGCAGCTTGAGAAGTACCGTAGTTATCAGATGTTGCTTTTTCCAAAACACGAAATATATGAATTTTCACATCTTTATAAAAAAAAACACAAAAAACAATAAGAAATACTTTTAAGTTGAAAATTAATTAATTAACACCTTATTCACTGAGCATCATGTGATGAAATTCAGAACTTAGTAATGGAAAGAAACTCTGGCTGTTGCATCTGCAAACATAGATCATGTTGATAATAATTTAATTCTTTTTTCTACTTTTCTGAAGAGCCAAATTTGCCAAATGGTAACCAGTCAATTTTGTTTTCTTCTAGTCATGATTTAATTTATTACATACAGCAAGTATTGCTGTTTCAATCAAGGGCTGTATAAAAAAAACGTTTTTACTAATTTTACTAATTGTTGTCTTTACATAGATTGCAACATTGAGGGCCATTTTGTACTTCTAACAAGTCAAAGAATGGAAAAAGACAGCAAGAGGATGCTTTTCTTTTTGCTCTTGGCTGGTAAATAATTGAACATATCTTGATTTCCAGCCTCTTTATATTCCTTATTTGTTTATTCTTACTCTCTCCTATTATATCCGTCTAAGGTATTTGCAGCCCAACGACTGAAGAACAGTGGAAGGCCTCTGTTGTAAAATCAATTGAAGCCCTGGTCGACTCCTGTGTTGTGCTGCCCTGTACATTCACTTATCCTGGGAGTATCTTGCCTACCTCCAGACTCAGGGGCATCTGGCATCGTAAGGACAATTGGGACGATATCTTCTACCATGAAGACAGCACAAAGGTCATGGACAGCTTTAAGGGCCGAACCAAGTTGTTGGGAGACCTGGGTCAGAAGAACTGCACCTTAGAAATAGATGAGGTTAAAGATCATGATAACGGCCCTTTCTGCTTCCGCATTGAACTTGTGCAAAAAGACACCAACCAAGAACTAAAGAAAAGTTCTCCTTTGTTGAGGAATGTACTGAAGTCATAATGCGCCGTATGTTGTCATTTATTCAAGTCCTGTGCATCGTTGTTATTCGCATGTTTAACTTTGTTCAGTATTTATATTACAATCGCTAAAATTAACCCTTAGTTAATGTCTCATTTTTCTTTTTATAGAAGTTCCTCCCAAACCTGAACTTTTTCAGGCAAACACAGCTGTTCAAGGAAAACCTTACGCCGTCACCTGTTCGGTCCACCATACCTGCCCCTCACACGTTCCTGTGTTCACATGGAGTCGAGGAAGTGAAGATGATGTTATACTAATTCAAAAACCCATTGTCTCTGGGATCTGGGAGACACAGTCCATCATGGTGTTTACTCCTGAGGAGAATGACGACCACACTGAAATCACCTGTAGTGTAACATTTAATGGAGGTCAAAAATCAGACAGATCTATTCAACTCAACGTAAAACGTGAGATCTAACTAGCTTTGAATAGTTCAGAATAAATACAGGATGTAGTTCATTTGCATTTTTCAACATCACATAAAATGCATCTGATTTCATTTCTATTTGCAGGTACTGCAAACACTTATCACCTCATCCTTCCAGTCGCGGTGGCCATTGGCACGGCTGTGATCTTTGGAATCATCTGCATTGCTATGATGAAAAAGTACAAGTAGGTTTACAGATATTCACTATTTAAGTGGATCCGCTGAGTAAAAACAGCAAATTGTTATTTTCTCAATGCTGCTCTTGTTTAAGCTCCTCTTGTTTTCTTAAGGAATCGCATTGCAGAGCTTCAAAGTCGTGAAGGAAGGTAAAGTGATTTAAAGCATTGCACCACAAAATAAAAACATGTAATGTCATTACAGTGAAAATAAATATTAATCAAATTATTTGGGACATTTAGCATGTTCAACAGACTGTCCAGGATGTCTGGCAGGTGAGATCTGACTTATTTCACTGAGACTTTTCAATTGTTTTTCCTGAATACATTTTTGACTGAAGTTTGGACTTTTTCAGGTTCTAATGGCCAGTGACTTTGTGGTCATAATCCAGTGCAAGAAATGTGAGCAAATGATGACCAGCAAGTAGTTGTTCACATTTAAACTTTTGTTTATGTCCATGAGGAAGATTTTTGTATTAAGAGTCATACCTTATTTTTTTATTATTACCATTGTACATTAATTCAGCAAAAAAATATATATACGTTATGCTTTTTCTGGCAAAAGTATCAAAAGTGTACAAAAATGAAATTATTCCATTTTTATAATGTTGTGTGTTGAAATTATGAGTATGCATTCTCACTAGGCTATTATTTTTACCTGGCCAGACCTTTCAGTACGATGCAGTTCGTATTCTGTTTGACCTGAACACTTTGTGAGCAAGTAACCACTTCTAATATTAAATAAACACAACTGTACTAGAGTAGTTCAACTCCAAAAGCTTCAAGTATAAAAGAGTGTGTCAAAAAACATAACCAGTGTCAACTTGAGGGTGTGCTCTGCCTCGATCATATTTCCGTCGTTATAAATATATTATTCCGCTTTTTTGTTGTTGTGGTAAGTACCCAGTGTACAGCTAAGTTCAATGTTAAAACTATGTGTAGATATCATTTAGACATGAGTGGATTATCACAATGATGATAATAATAATCTACCTACCTGTTTGTAATGAAGTAAACCCACAGAGTTTTCTAGAAGTAAACTAAGTAAAAGTAAAAGTTAAAAATTACCAATGTCTGTAAATAATGCAAAATGCAAGCGAATAAAATCAACTCAAAGACATTTGGCTAAGATTTGAAATAATTTAGTAGATTTTTTTCAGATTCATGTTGAGAAATTGGTATTGAGGAATGCTGAGCAACAGTTTAAAAATTTTGTGTTTCCGTCCAGGACTCCAGAGTAAATGTGTAAATATCTCATCATATTTGTCACTTTTCCATCAATTCTTTACACCTGTATTTCTGTGCTTTGCTATTAAAACTAATAAAAGAAAAAAAAAAGGTGAAAAATGATCATAAGTCAAATGAAATTGTTGTTTAAATTGTGCTTTGTGCTTTCTGAGATTCTTGCATTGTTGTCTGTGGAGAAAGTTCAGTTTGGATAGATAGTTTTGCTTGATCTAAGCTCTCAAAAATGACAAAATTTAAATCCCAGTGGCCAATAGTTTAATTGACTTGTGTATAAATGAAGTCCAATGTTGATTCTGCTCAACAGAATGTCTTGGCCGAGCAATGTTGGATTGTACAGGATGAAAATGTCCAAAGTAAATGACACCTAGCTAATCAAAAAACAATACAAAGTTTTAATCTACTTACTATGCAACATATAATTTGACTGCAACAAAAACTTCATAAAAAGATAATATTTCTTCTTCTTTTCTTTTTTTTTTAAACTGATAACCAACAACAGTGAAGATGCATCTTTGAGCATCTCTGAAGTTTAGAGATTTGACCAAAGACGCAACAGAACCTGTAGATATTTAGAGGAGAACACAAACCAGAACTGGAAATCAAGGTTTGATTGGAGTGAAAAATACAAAACCAAGACCTAAACTTAATGTAAACTTTAGATAAACCCATTAAGTAACATGTATTAATCTCTTTAAGCAAGAGCAATCAGACCAAATGCAGCAGTAACAGGATTTTAATAAACTGAAGCTCAAATATTGTTGTGCATAGTTTTTACTTGATGTGTTGATAACACTTCATGATATTAAATATATATCCTCTCAACTCAGAAATGTTGTCAGCGTTATAATACAAAATAAAATTAACCGGAATAAAAATGTCAGTAATCAAAGAAAATAGTAAATGGGGGGAATTAAGTAAAATATACTTCTTTGAGCTTTACATTACATTATAGTACTATTCTCTCATCAAAGTATACCTATAGAGTTGCCTTGATTCTTTCATACATGTTTGAGAAATCCTTCAGTCTCCAGTGGCAGCCATTTGATTGTGTGAAAAGCTTGCTCCCACCAAGCGCCATCTTCCTCAGAGCTGTAATCTTCAAGCCAAGGTTCTGCCTCACAGAGCGCAACTCCCCAAACCGGCTCCTTCAAACTAGCAGTAGCAGCAATTAGCAAGTTCCTGATGGAACTGTGCATTTGCTTGTCAAATGAACTACTTCTGAGTGCAATGCTCCTAAGAATTATGCTAAAGGCAGAATGGAGAAACATTGTTGTGATGAGGCGCTGAAGGCAAAGTGTCGGAAAGAGCAGGAGCCTCTTAAAGAGACAGAGACCCATTATCAGTGTCAAATTGAAGTAACATTTATTTCAAGTCATCTTTGATATATAACACATAGGTAACTACAGTGCTATAAAATGACACTATGTGGCTGGAAAATACATAATACTGCCCTTTTAATTGCAGAAAAACTACAAATAGGTGAATTTTAGAGGAACACATTATTTACATTATATATATTTTTAAATGAACAGGAAGCAGTTGTATCTAGTATTTTGATTCATGGATAATTATCTGCATATTTTTCTTTCTTAAAAAAAGTACTTTTCAAGGACAGCTACATGCTCTTTCATTGCAGCAGTTTTCTTGAAATTAATCTGAAAGTTGCTACAATTTGTAGCTGCCATGTGAAAGGTTTTGAGCGTGAAAGGCTCAAAACAGTTCAGCCAGAAAGTCAAACTGGAAACCTGTCAACCGTGTCCCTCAGAGCACAGCTGTGTGTGTGAGGTCAAACTCAGAAGGGTGTCATTACCCCTCCTGTTGAGGGAATTATAGTTAGATTTTTTATATTTATTGTAAGAGCTCAAATGTTGTGAGGAGGTGTGTATTTAATCCTGTCAGTCAGAACTTGAAATAAAATAAGGTAATAATAAAGGTGGAATGTCTGCATTTTCTATAAAGTGTGACAACACTGGCAATCTGTTCTGTTCCAAAAGCATTTTTGCAGTCCAGTGAATTTTCTGGAAACACTAACTTTAAGATGAAAAAGAAAAACAGTTTGAGATTGGACATGAAGGGGTAAACTGAGATAAAAATTTAATGAATGAGGCAAAATAAGACTTTTTTGGTATTCGTTCAGTCCCCTGAGAGCTCGCTTCTCGAGGCTGTGCAGAGAGCATTGGAGGGGCAGGGGCTTAAAGTTAAAAAGGGGCCCATTCAACAAGATTTTAAAACACAAAATAGCAACAACCCACATTAATCAAGAATTTTATATTTAATCAGATGATACTGTATCATTGTCATCATGTGGGGAAAACATAAACATGTAGTCTATGTTTCCCTCTATGTATAAAGTTGCTGTTTCTGCTGCTGGCTGTGTGGACTGTGTTGATCTGAGGCTGAAGGTGTTAAAAAACACCTCCACCCCCTCGCTGCACATGCAGAGAGGTGGTGGAGGGGACTTGAGCCCCAGGCCCTCCAAAGGTCTCTGCATGGCCCTGGTGTGGAATCAGATTGTGTCTAAGGCCCCATCCTACCAGGACCAGGCCTGCATGAAGATATAGTCGCTCCGCTGCACATCTTTCTCCTGGATTGTGGCATGTTTGGCTTTATGTTGTGGTCCAAATTATCGACGCCGTATTTTCGCTGATGTTTGTGCAATATCTTGTGAGCTCCAAATGCTGATTGCTGAATCTTTTTTAGCAGTTGAGGTTCTGCAGTGACTTCTACTCACAGCCGCAAACCTCCAGCCCAGATCTGGTGCGAACCCCCTGGTAGTATCGTTAAGGTGAAGCAGAGAGCTAAGAGTGAGCCGGCGGTCATTGGGCTTTGGACTACATCATCGCGTATCGCTTTTCGATAACAAGATGTGAGACCGACTCAGGCTGCCTGTAACGAACCGGGCTTTTAGTCCAGCACGGGGCAAACTGATGAAATTAAAGTCTGATGTTTTCTCTGCAGCCAAATCATTTCTTTGTTTGAGGGTGAGGAGGGTGAGGAAATAATAATAATAAAATATAATAATATAATAATAATAATAATAATAATAATAATAATAAATAATAATAATAATAATAATAAAGAAAACACTTCAACATCAGACCTATGTTTTTATTCACAAAGAAATGTGTTCATAAAAGATATATTCTTGCCCTTAACTTCATAGTTAGAGGGCGCAGTTCTCCGTGACCTTGTGCCTGAACAACATGGAGGCAGAGGGTGATCAGAAAATGGATGGATGTTATATTTAGCTAAATATTATTGATGAGGGTCACAAGCAGGTTTCCAGGAAGCCTGAGACACACCTACAAATAAGTATAAATAAATAACTCAAAATGGGGTGTGGGATGTCAAAGATAAAATGAGCAGGAAACAAAATCTGTCGCTGCCCTCACCCGCCCCACACATGCCTGTCACTTCTCTTTTTTCACTTCCGTATCGTCTGTGGTTTTTCATATAAAAGGTGTGTTTGAAAGCATCCTTTTGACAAAGCAGTAAGATGCCAGGTCACATCATCCTCCCACACTTTTAAGGAGGACTTCATTAAATTGTGCAGTTTTGAAAGATTTCCCATAAACATCCACATCAGAAGGTAAGTTGATCTAGACTTTAAAGAATATGGCAAATAAGTTGTTTTATATCTCTTTTAAAACTTAAATTGAATCCTCACATCAAAGAAAATATTGCATTTTTATTTATTCACTTATTAGAGCAAATAACAGTAACAAGAAAATAATTAATAATGCTGCTCTAAATGTTTCACAGAAATTTCACTTTCCTCTTTCCTTAAAGAATAAAAGAAATATTTCTATTTGAATGCAGAGCGTAAAATGTTTTTATTTGTTTTAATAAAAAATGTAATAATTATGTAATTTTATAACATAATTAATTTGGGCAATTAAAGAGCATAAGTGAATTTTTTGTTTTATATTTATAATTTTTTGTTTAGTAATATTACCGTAATAAAATTGACCGACATTCACCCATTATGCATAAACCATTTGTAAATTACTTTATATTGCTTTTTACCACGTTTACATCTTATTGCTGGCAACTTTTTTCCATCAACTACTATAAACATCAGATTAACCGGCTGTGGGTTTTTTTTTTCTTTCTTTCATGGAAACTTGTTCTGCTTGGTCAGGTTTCCATGAAAAATTTTGAATTTATATTTAGAATCCACAAAGTTTTTCCACACGAAACATCTTTTCAAACCTCTTCTTATAATGTCCTTTAAGCTTGAAATCAGATTGAAATCTGTTCCTTGAACCACCTGTAGGTGTTTGTGATTCACAACACCTACATTGACCTTATATTAATTAAACAAAACCACATGTAAATTGCCCAGTATCATATCTGAATCTTTTTGCTGGGATGTCCAGTGAATTTTGTATTTCAGTTTTTCAGAATAGACCGTAGTCGTGCTGTATATCAGATTGTGCATGAACTAGTAAAATCATATAGATCACTGCAATATATTTGAAGGTTTTTCTTTTTGTGTGGATTTGGATTGCTTGGGTCAACCGGGGAGAAGAAGGAAAAAAACAAACATCTATGTATTAAGTTTTAAATATGCAAAATTAAGCAAGTTTATCAAAAATTTATATCAGAGCGCAAAAGACAGAGAATATTGTATAAATAGATCTGTACAGCTAGACTCCTGGTAAATATCTTAATTCAGAAAAAAACATTACAACTAGTTTCATCGCACACTGCTGAATAATAACTTCTTAAAATAAGCTTTAAAATGCAAGAGGAAAAAAGTGCAACAAGTGAATCTCATTTATGTAAAGTTTGAGAAAATGTACCTAAAAAAGCAGAACTGAAAGTGCTCAAAAAATAGATCAGCAATGAGAAGCCCAATTCCTGCTACTGCTCACATAAAAATAAAATTTTTAAACATGATGAAAGTGTTTCCAGTAAGTTGATGAGGATATTACTTTACATTAAAAAATGTAAAGTAAAGGAAGGGCCTGAGTCCACCCCCAAACCCACGGTTTGTCCAGGGGTGGACACCGAAAGGGTCCAAACACCAAACACTGAGAAAATCTGACAGAAAATAATAGGAAAACTATGTTTATGGAATGATTTTCTTGAATGGTTTAACTGCAGATTTTATTAGATGACTGACTCTCTTTGCTGAATTTATTGCTCCTGCCTTTGTTTTCTGTTTGTTTGTTTTGTTTTGTTTTTTTTTACTTTTAGTACTTATTAATGACCCACCAGCACAATTGCAAATACTTGAAATTCTTTACCTGGTCTTAAGGTTTTGATCAGACAGTAGAAATGAGAGGCATGTTAAATAAGTAGAGAAGACAGAAGTGATGTCGATTACTTCTGTCTCACTCTCTTTAATTTTTTACAATTGAAAACAAATGTAAACAAGAAGTGAGTTTCTCCATTTTTGAGGTATTGTAATTAATTCATAATTTCATATGATGAATTCTGAGAATCAATCATTTTTTGTGCTATGTGAACTTATTCTTTGTTCATGTGAATTTTGAAACCGACAGTCTAAAACATGAAGATGATCCTCGTTAAGGGTAAAAAATGCGAAGATGACAAAGTAGCTGTAAAGTAGCCATTTTCTTTCTGCTCTGGTAACTTGAGCTCACGCATGCAAAAAACGACACGCACTACAAAGCCCTCTTTCTCATTTGCTTTTAAGATGGAGGAAACAAAAAAGGCAACAGAAAGAAACAGTAGAAAACTTTGTATGAGATGGGTACCAGTCTTTTTACAGCCTTGAAACATTTTAACTGCAAAGAAATGAAACGAAAATTAAAAGTTTTTTGTAAAACAAAATTTGGTTGATTTTGAAAATGGCACAAAGATTTTTATTGTATCTTTATTGTTTATTGTTTTAATAAATAATACTAATGCACATCATTTGTTTCTTTCAGATACCTTTATATCAAGATGTTTTGGTTTAGACATTTGCTCCTGCACCTCTGGTTTTTGGGTACTTTGGTTTTCTTCTTTTGAATTGTGTAACATTACATACATACTTAATTTGATGCAACTGATGAATTTTTACTTCAGTAATTTTGACTTACAACTATTTTTCTCTTGCAGGATGTCTTTACTTGGCAATACAAGCTTGGCGCGTTGACATGCCAAGAAATATCAAAGCACTGTTGAAATCCTGCCTCGTTATCCCTTGTAGCTTTGACTACAATTTGTATCCACCTACAAGAGCAGACAGAGTTGTTTGGTACCAGTATGTGAGCAGGGGATATCCTTTGGTTTCTGACAGTCGGTACCCTGAGAAAGTAATTAGCATGTATAGTGGAAGAACCTATGTATACACTTCCAAATATGAAAAATCATGCTCTCTAAAGATTGAACGTGTGAACTGGAACGACCACAGACAAAAACTTTATCCTTGGGTGGATCCAGAACATGTTGGGTCTAGCACATATAAATTCTATGACACAGCAGTAACAATTGAAGTAATTGGTATGTTTGTTTGTTTTGGGCTTTTTGCCTTGATAATCAATGCATTAGTATGTTGTTGAAAAAGCTTTTAACTTTTTACATTTTCTTTGTAGCACAGCCAAAGCCACCACGAATTATAATCTTTGGAGAAAGAAAAGTTGGAAAATCTGTAACAGTGCAATGTTCTGCTGAACACACATGCTCCACCAGTCCACCAACTCTCAGCCTCAACATCGCAATGAAAGACAAAGAGTTTCCAACACTCAGCTATCTGATGGCACTTCTAAAGTTATCTTAACAGGCACTTTAGTCTTAGAGAGAGACGTTCAAGTGATTGAGTGCACTGTCCAGCACCCAGGTGGTAAAACAGCAAGAACATCTAAAACCTTAATTGCAAGCTGTGAGTGATAACTCCCAAGATCAAAATCAGCGTCGCCCTCGTGCTAAACTTAGGTTGTCTTTCTGGAAAAGCTTTAACCATCCTTTCGTTCTTTGTGTTTTTAGGCTCCATTTTATCACTGAGCATTAGCTCTACTTCAGTTGAATATGTTGAAGGAGTTCCAAACCAAGTAACATGTGAAGCTTCTTATACTTGCTCCAGCAATGCACCAGTTCTCGAATGGAACTACTCTAACATGCCAGTTACCAGAGATATTAAACTTTGGGGACTTTGCAGAAAACTGTTTCCACACTGACATTTACAGCATCAGCTAAAGACAATGGAAATGATCTGACATGTTCTGCAAACTTTCCTGGAGGAGAGACTCAGCAGAAGAGCCTCACCATACGGGTAAAACGTGAGTACCAATCACAGTTAACATTTTGTACCTTTTTATCAGGACTAGAATATATTAAACATTTGGTAATGTCTTTTGAGTTTATAACAAATGGAACTAAAAAGATTTTCTTCAGTGATGAATGTCACATCAACTGAATATTATTTTATATGGAGAGTTTTATGGTAAATAAAATTGACAAATACATGGCTGCCTCATGTTCTGCTGTTAACTTATGTAAATTGTTCCATTGAAAAAAGTATCTTTATAGATACTGTTGATAAAATTTGTCTATCCAGGCAAATCTGGTTTGCTATAAGTGAAATAATCTGCCATGGAACAAGTACTTCTTCCCCAATTCTAAGGAATTATTTACTTAATGCCACTTCTTTTATCTTGAAAGGTTACTTGTAAGTTAATTTTCTCTTATTTCAGGTTTATTAAGATGCTAGCAGTAAAAACTAGACCAAAATTATTTGGTAGGATTTTGTGTTTTTGCAGTTTAGGCATTTGAACCCTGTAAGTCTCGATTTAGGAGTTAATGTAACTATTTTTCCCACCGAGACAACAAATAATACTATTGCAGACACAACATTCAAATGTAGAAATCTATGGTCTGTCCAGGGCAAATCAGTTAAAATTAAGCTAAAACTACTCTGGCCAATCAAAATCGTTTTGTTTTTATGTGTTTTACAGGAAACATGCTCAATCTGGGCTGGTCTTTCACTACTCCAGGAAGCGTAACGGGAATGAAAGGATCATGTATCATCATTCCTTGCAAGTTTTCCTACAGCAAGCCCAACCGAGTGGCCTCCAAGTTGTCTGGTACTTGTACCAAAGTAATGGACGCGCAGACGTATTCAACCAAAGACAATCAAATATTTTAAGCAGATATAATGGGATAACACATTTGACTGCTCTGTGTCAGACCGCAATTGTAGTCTTAAAATAGACCAGCTGGATATGTCTCACAATGAGGATAAACTCTATCCATGGGTTGATATCAACCCGATTACCTCCTACCACTCACAGGGACATTCATTTTGGATAGAAGCACCAAAATTATGGTTTCAGGTAAGAACACACACACACACACACATAATAAATTTCCCTTCTCACCCACCGCGGGTGGTTCTTATCCTCTGAGCTCGGGTCCTCTACCAGAGGCCTGGGAGCTTGAGGGTTCTGCGCAGTATCTTGGCTGTGCCAAGAACTACACATTTCTGGACTGAGATGTCTGATGTTGTTCCTGGGATCTGTTGTAGCCACTGCTCCAGTTTGGGGGTTACTGCCCCGAGGGCCCCGATGACCACAGGCACCACTGTGGTCTTCACCTTCCAGGCCCTCTCCAGTTCTTCCCTGAGGCCCTGGTATTTCTCCAGTTTCTCGTGCTCCTTTTTCCTGATGTTGCAATCACTTGGTATTGCTACATCTACCACAACGGCTTTCCTCTGATGTTTATCCACTACGACAATGTCTGGTTGGTTCGCCATTACCATTTGTCTGTCTGGATCTGGAAGTCCCACAGGATCTTAGCTCTGGCGTTCTCCACCACCTTTGGGGGTGTTTCCCACTTTGATCTCGGGGTTTCCAGTCCATATTCTGCACAGATGTTTCTGTACACTATGCCTGCCACTTGGTTATGTCGCTCCATGTACGCTTTCCCTGCCAGTATCTTGCACCCTGCTGTGATGTGCTGGACTGTCTCAGGGGCCTCCTTGCACAACCTACACCTTGGGTCTTGTCTGGGTGTGGTAGATCTGGGCCTCTATTGCTCTGGTGTTTAGGGCCTGTTCCTGGGCGGCCAGGATGAGGGCCTCTGTGCTGTCCTTGAGTCCAGCTTTTTCCAGCCATTGGTAGGATTTACTGATATCAGCCACTTGGGTTATTTGCTGGTGGTACATCCCATGTAGGGGCTTGTCCTCCCATGATGGTATCTCTGGCACCTCAACCTCCGTTCCCTGTTGTCTGAGACATTCACTGAGCACATTGTCTGTTGAGGCTTTGTCCCTGATGTATTTATGGATCTTAGTTGTTTCGTCCTGGACAGTGGTTCTCACACTCACTAGTCCTCTGCCTCCGTCCTTGCGGCTCGTGTACAGTCTCAGGGTGCTGGATTTGGGATGGAACCCTCCATGCATGGTTAGTAGCTTTCTAGTCTTAATATCTGTGGCTTTTATCTCCTCCTTTGGCCAGCTAATTATTCCAGCAGGGTATCTGATTACTGGCAGGGCATAGCTGTTTATCGCACGGATTTTGTTCTTGCCATTGAGCTGGCTTCTCAGGACTTGCCTTATTCATTGGAGGTATTTACCTGTGGCTCCTTTCCTTGTGGCCTCATCGAGGTTGCCATTTGCTTGTGGTATACCTAGGTACTTGTAGCTGTCCTCTATGTCTGCTATTGTTCCTTGTGGGAGTGAGACTCCTTCTGTGCGGATCACCTTCCCCCTCTTTGTGATCAGCCGACCACACTTCTCTAGTCCGAATGACATCCCAATGTCAGTGCTGTAGATCCTGGTGTGTGGATCAGTGAGTCGATGTCTCGCTCACTCTTGGCATACAGCTTGATGTCATCCATGTAGAGGAGGTGACTGATGTTGGCCCATTTTGAGTCGGTATCCGTAGCCAGTCTTGTTGATAATTTGGCTGAGGGGGTTCAGGCCTATGCAGAACAGTAGCGGGGACAGAGCATCTCCTTGGTATATGCCACATTTGATGGACACTTGTGCAAGTGGTTTGCAGTTGGCTTCAAGGGTGGTTTTCCACAGCTTCATTGAGTTTGCAATGAAGGCTCTCAGAATCCTGTTGATGTTATACATCTCTAGGCATTCAATGATCCAAGTATGCGGCATTGAGTCATAGGCTTTCTTGTAATCGATCCAAGCCATGCACAGGTTGGTGTGTCGGGTTTTGCAGTCTCGGGCAACTGTGCGGTCTATGAGGAGTTGGTGTTTGGCTCCTCTGCTGTTTACACCGATACCCTTCTGTGCCGTGCTCATGTGTTTATCCATGTGTTTGCTTATCTTGGCCGCTATGATGCCTGACATGAGCTTCCAGGTTGTGGAGAGGCAGGTTATTGGTCGGTAGTTGGGTGGGACTGGACCCTTTGATGGATCCTTCTGGATTAGGATTGTCCGCCCTTCAGTTAACCATTCAGGGTGAGTCCCACTTTGTAGCAGCTGGTTCATTTGGGCTGCCAGTCGCTCATGGAGAGCAGGGAGTTTCTTTAGCCAGTAGGCATGGATCATGTCAGGCCCTGGTGCTGTCCAATTTTTCATGCCTGAAAGTCTTTCTTGAACATCTGTCACAGTGATGGTTACCGGGGCTTGCTCAGGGAGGTTGCTGTGGTCTTCTCGGGGAGAGATCAGCCACTGTGCATTGCTGTTGTGGGACGCCTCCCTTTCCCATATGCCTTTCCAGTATTGTTCAGTCTCCAGCCTTGGTGGGTCTGCTCTGTTGTTATTACCCTGCCATTGAGAGTACACCTTATCTGGTTGAGTGGAGAAGAGCCGGTTAATCCTTCTGGATTCATTCTCCCTTGTGTATCTCTTTAGGCGGCTGGCCAAGGCTTGGAGCCTCTGTTTGGCAGTTTCAAGTGCTTCAGGTATGGGCATCTGCCTGTACTTTCTGGGGACTGGTCTTTTCATTGTAGCCTTGTGGAGCTCTGACAGTTGGCTCACTTCCTTCCTTGTTACCTTGATTTTAGCCTCTAACCGTCTTTTCCATGGTGGGTATTGGGTCTCATGCTTGCTCTTATAGCCAAGTATTTCAAGGATCACTGATGCTGAGTTGTAGATCAGCTCATTGGTTTCTGTTATGGTGTTGGTAGGGATCGTTCTCAATGCTGCATTGACATTCTCAATGAGACTTTCAGATGGTACTTCACTCAGCCGTTGTAATTGGCGCCGAGGAGGTCTGGTTGTCATTCGGGTCATGATTCTCTCTCTCAGGTCAGCAGCTGTCTCGTTCAGCTCTGTTTCGCTCATTGGGGCAGTGTATCCCCTCACTGGGTGGGGACTTGTAGTTAAGTCCTCACAGTCCTGACATCCGGGTTCCTCCCTTTTGCCGTAGCATTTGTGTTGTATCTCGTCAATCTCAAGTTGTGATAGCAGTTGCCGTTTGCGGATGTTGGAACACTGAGCTACTAGTTGTTTAGCGCTTAGTGTTGACTGGGGATGTCGAAGTAACCATTCCTTCCCCAGTCTTTGCATATAACCTCTCTCACTAGGGTTACTTGAGTAGTAGCATTCCAACAGATCCACATTTTCACATATATGTATATATATATATATATATATATATATATATATATATATATATATATATATATATATATATATATATATATATATAAATCCTTCTTTGTTCATCTCAGGTCCAGTTGGTTGATTTCACAACAGACACACTCATTTCTTTTATTTACCAACTCTCAAGAGCAGCATAACAACTTAATGCACAAAATCATGTCTGGGAAAACAACTTCTTGATTAAGCAAAATAAATCTGACAAATATTCATATCTTGTGCAGTTATTCCCATTGCAGCAAGAAACTTGTTTCTGTCTGTCTAGTTAAAGTTGTTTAGGTTAAAATAATGTATGTTAAACTTTTCCTTTCACTCTTTCACCAGTATTTTAAATATCTACATTTTAGTTGGAATCATCATAGATTAACATATTTCTATTTTATCTTTATAGACCATGCACAAGAACCCCAAATGAGCATCATTGATGTTCCTAAGGTGGGAGCTCAAAGCAGGGTTACCTGTAAAGTGAAATATACATGTTCTTCTGCTCCTCCTGCCCTGTCTCTGAATGGCATTCCTGGAACAGACCGCACCATTGACTCCTTGTTGTCAGACGGCATTTGGGAAAGAACAATAGAACGAACTTGGAATGTAGAAGAAGACCACAAGAAGGTGGAGTGCACTGTGAGATATCCTGGTGGACAAAGTGCCAAAAGTGAGCTCCTCCTGCATGTTGAATGTGAGTATAAATATACATGTTGTGGTTTAAATTGATGAGATTTTTAAGTTTTTCTTCACAAGTAAAGTTTCATTTTTACTTAGGTCCATTTGAAACAATCAAAATGGTTGAACCTCCAGGAGAGCTAACAGAAGGAGTGGCAAAGAGTGTAATTTGTTCTGTGTCCTACAAATGCAAGACAAATACACCAACAATTGAGTGGAACTTTTCAGACATGCTGCATTTACAAAAGCTCAAAAAAATATCCAGTAATACGTATACCACTGAGTCCAATCTTACGTTTATTGGTTCCCTTGAAGACAATGGAAAACCTTTGACCTGCATTGCACATTTTCTGACTGGAGAAACATCAAACTCCTCACTTCTTCAGATAAAAAGTGAGTTTTTACATCTAACACACATTGTTTACCACTATAGTTCAAATTAAAATTAGAACTCAGAATTGAAGTTAAAAGTTTCAGTGTTTAAATCTGCAGAGCAATACTTGAGACACCAGACGCCTTGGAAGATTTACAGTTTCAAAATGTTGACCAGTAAACAATGACTGCTTTCTTTAATCCAGTTAAACTTATAGCTTTCACTTGGGTTTATTGCTTAGCTACTAATCAAAAATAAATTCATTTATTTATTCATTTTTACAGAATATGTACCGGTTGAAGAAGAACTGAACGAGAAAGATAGTGAGCTCACCTTTCTTTTTCCTTACACCAGACAACTTGCATAAGACACTGATTTCCTGCCTATTTTTCTCTTATTGTTCATTATTTCAGATTTAATGCTATCAGTTTTGTGTATCTGTATAATTTTCATGTCTTTTGTATTAAATGTCCTGTATTTTCTGACAGCACCTTTCTAAGTTTAACTGGTCTTCTCGCCCCCCAACAGCTTTCCGCGTCCTGGCTGCTGACGTCCCTGGCAGATTCAATGCCTTGACTCGGTCCTGTGTGGTCATCCCCTGCAGTTTCCAGGATGACGAGGATCAGCCCTGACTCGTGGCATCTGGTACAAAAAAACTGGGGGTCTGGTGTACCACAATGCCCGCAGTGATGTTTTGGACAACTTCAAGGATCGGACCAAAATTCTGGGAAACCTGGATGAAGGAGACTGCTCTTTGGAGATTGACGACATAAAACCCTTTGACACCGGCCCTTTCTGTTTCTATGGAGAGAAAGGAACAAAAAAATACAGATTTAACAACAGCTGCGTTTTTATCGTCATGAAAGGTCAAGAATCCTTACTAATGTTTTACATCATTCGCATGCTGTTTGTGATACATTTTCTTCCAATCTGAGCAATAGCAAACGTCTTTGTCTTTAATCCTCAGCTTCTCCAGAGAAACCAGTGATGAGTTTAGTTCCAGCTCAAGTGAATGCTGGTTCAACTGTAAATGTCTCCTGTTCTGTCAGTCACTCATGCTCATCACATCCTCCAAAGTTTTCATGGAGTGTCCTTACGTCAACAACGAGGTTTCAGACACTGAGATGTCACGAGGTGTCTGGAAGACGACGTCCACCATCACGTTTGTGGTTGCTGGAGGAGATGGACAGAGAAACCTGAACTGTACCGCCATCTTCTGGCGTGGAAAGAATGAAACCAGGACTTTCAAATTAATTGTAGAGGGTTAGACTCAACAAATCATTTTTCTTATCAAAGCATTGGACACAGGGAACTGAGAGATTTTCTCATTATGATTATTTTATATCTTCATCTCCAGGAACTACAGTGTACCAGATGCAGAAAGCTATCCCTGTGGTTATTCCTGTTGTCATCTTAGTGCTGATCCTCTTTGCTGTGCTGCTTGGCATATTCTTCTACAGGAAAAGGTGAGTAAACCTCTCAAAATCGACTAATATATGCTTTTGCGTGTATTGCGTGTATCTTTTTGCCTTCAAAAATGAGGCCAATTAGAGTAACTGAAGTTGACCTAAAGAAATTACAATTTTCTCATCACCAGAAAGCACACCGATGGCCCTCTGACGCCTCCGCCAAGACCAGAGAAAAGGCAAGAATTTTACCTCCAAGAACTTTTGTTTAAGTGCTGTGCTAATTTAGCACTTTTGCTCTCTGTTTTGATATGAGTTCTTAGGGTAAGGTAAGGCAAGAGTTAGGGGTAAGGTAAGGCAAGGCAAGGCAAGGTAAGGTAAGGTAAGGTAAGGTAAGGTAAGGTAAGGTAAGGTAAGGTAAGGTAGGGTAAGGTAAGGTAAGGTAAGGTAAGGTAAGGTAAGGTAAGGTAAGGTAAGGTAAGGTAAGGTAGGGTAAGGTAAGGTAAGGTAAGGTCATGTAAGGTAAGGTAAGGGTTGTTTTAAATCCAATTTGCTGTTCATGGACAAAATTAAGAGAGATGTCTTGCCTCTCAATCTAAACATCTTGATTCAAATATTATAGATATTAATGATCTTACATGCTTGGAATTAGAAATTTATACAGCTCTACTTTACACTCATATTCACTCTCAAATGTAACACTGTGTCACTGATATTTACATCCGTGTTCTTCCACAGGGATGTAAACATCCCCCATACACCAAAGATCTCTTTGGGGTAGATTAACCAGATGAATTGAATTAAACGTTTTACTCAGTTTCTTTTTGTTTTTGCACAAGCAAATAGTAAATCCAAAACCATTTTAATACCTATAGGACTTACTTTGAGGGAGATAGAGAGAAACCTCCAAGGCCAGAAAAAAGGTGCACAACCAAAAAGCTTTTTTTGAAATTGCAGTTGAACACATACTAAAAATTAACAAATGTTTCTGTGCAGGAATTCAGTTTGGAGAAGGTTTTCTCGGTAAGATCAACAAAAGGCAAATTCTGCCCTTTTAATCCTCAGTTCTGATGTTTGCAACACTATTATTTTCAGACAATCAGAGGACAGTCAAGTCGGCTGGCAGATCACCAGGTAGGAACATTTTCTGTTGTTAAATCTCCTCATTGTCAATGTTAAAGTTGCTACTACTTGAATGTTTCTTTTACAGAAACTCTTTCTGGAATAGATTTTCAAGGTAATAATTTTATGTTTATTACAAACAAGAATATCAGACATTAAGTGATTAAAAAATTAAAAGTAGACTAAGAACAACGTGTATAATTGTTGCAGACGCCCAAACAACTCGACTGACCTCAGAGTCAGTTATTTGTAAGTTTTCAGCCGTGGTTTCAAAAATATTTTATAATGAGCAGAAATGCTGAAAATGTGATATTGTGAAATATGTTTTTGCTCCTAGAAATGATGCAGAAGTGGTCGTTTGTCAGAAAAAAGTCAACAAGCAGTATTATCCATCACCAAAGAAGTGAGGAGAACAACTCTATATTTCAGGCTTCAAAAGACTGCTGCGATTATTGTGGTTCTTTATTAATTATCTTGTTTCGCTCATCCAGTAACCAAAGACGACCTGCGCCGCCCCCACCAGAGGTCAGTTGCATTGTTCATTGAATTTTACCATTTACAGCTGTTGTGAGGATGTTTCAGTCAATTTTTCTTGATACACATTAAAAATAAACTATTTTCCCTGATGATCAACTTTCCAGTCTAAACTCTTAATCTCTGAGCTTTTATTGTTTATGAAACGATGATCTCTTATTAGATCAAACTTCAACATTTTTAATAATATTCGTCAAAAGCCTTTGGTTTTACAAGAACATATTTCCTGTACGGTTCATAGAGTACAATACAAGCATAAAGTTTATTAAGCAATAATGAACCAATTAAATATTTTTTCTTTACAGGATGTTAACCTGTACGGCAACATTTGAGTAAACAGTCTGAGGATCGATTTGGATGCGCTTGCTCTTCTTCTGCTGCCAAGTTTCAGTTTATAGTTCACATTCATAATCATGTTATTCTCACTTCTGCTTTTCATTTCAATTGTAGACTTTTACTTTTCATTTCAGGAAGAAATAAACAGTAATGAACCACTAATGCCTCATTTCTCTAATCTCTGCCATGAAGAGAATACATGGCAGAGTATTCTCTTCATGTGGATAAAGGAGTGTCACACAAGATGGATTATGATATATATGTGTATGTGTGTGTGTTCCCTTTTAAATAACATGAATAATATCACATTGTATGTTTTTTCTCATTTTAATAGCTCAAAAAATTTTGAATATTACAGATGAAAATAAATTCTTTATTAGGCAACTGAAAGAGGAATGTTTGTTCATTTAATTTCTGCTTTTACTCTTAAAGTTGTATTATTTTAGATAATGACAATCCACTTTTCAACGTATGAAAAAAAGACAAACAGATTGAGATTTATTCCACAACAGAAATATTGAAAATAACTTGCAATAGACAGCTTTGTGTTGATGTATGTTTGTGGATCTTCTAAGATAACAAGACCAGAAACATCAGCGACACAAACAACAGCAGCAGGCCAGCACTTGCACCGCTGGCGCTGTTGCAGTAGTCTCCCTGGCAGCAGCTGCTTCCTTGTAAGATAAAAGGTTTAAAAAACTCTGATGCGTATTCTGGGCACATCGTCTTGGAAGCACAACCCTTCAAGGTTTGACTTGTCCCTCCTGTGTTGACTGTGAGAGTGAAAAACAGAGGCATTAATGTGGGCCACATGTTTCATCTTAGAACCTTACAATATTCATAAGAAGATGAAGCTTTGAACTTAGAAAAGGAAGCAGAAGTCTCACTTGTTGATTTGATGCAATATTCCTCATCATTCTTACAGTTTTCAGTTCTAACGCACTGTTGACCTTCACAGCTGTAGCACTTTTTACCATTTGGATTGAACTTAGGCCCTGAAATACAAGAAAAAGCATGCAGAGATCTTTGCAGCATGGACTCCCAACTTAAAGGTCAACTTGTTTATAGAATTTTGGATTAACTTATTTTTCATGGACAAGAATCTGTTATTATAGTGTAGATGCTTTCAGTAGAATAGCAGTAGGTGCTGAACACATGAGTGATGAAACCGCTGCATGGTTACAAAATACAACTTTAAAATGGTTCAAATTACCAGAGGGATCTTTGGTGTTGCACTGAGATGTGGTGCAGCACTCGCTCACAATAACAGTTTTCTGAGATCCAAAGCTGACTGAGCCTCCAACACAATCTCCAGGTTGAAAGCACTGTTTAGATTTGGTCTCATTGTCTGCAGAACCACCTATAATTAAAAGTAGAAATTGGAACTCTTGCAGACAAGGTGACACAAATCAAATTGAGATTGCAGAAAAATACCTGTGTATCTTATTATTTTCACTGCTGCACATTGATTATCCTGTGAGGGGCATTGCACTTTGGTATTGCAGCCTCCAGATGTTTCCGGTACACACTTGTAACATTCCAGGGTGTTGGCTGGTAATAGAATCGGTAAGTGTTAATATGTCTAAAAGATTTCTTTTTTTTTAATCTTTGGTTTTAATCCTTTCTCAAAAACACAGTAGACATAATGTAGAAATGTAAAAAGAAAAACTACTCCAACAATGTTTCTAGGCTTTTAGGTCAAATACTCAGAAACAATTAAAATAAAAAAATTACAACACAATTGATGTAAGTCTGATAAAATTAAACATATCAATGCAAATAACACAGGTTAAAAAACTTGCCTTTCGGAAGAAGCCAAATGCCGGCAAACAGTACAACAAAGTGCAATTTGTGAAGAGACATCTTCCTGACTGAGTAAGCTTGAATCTCCTCTGTTCATTTCATATGTGGTTCTCCTGAGTAGGGCTGGCCACTTGGCCTCAGACCACTCCCATTTCTCCTGTGCATATGGGTGTGGAAGAGAGACAGAGAGCGGGAGAGAAAGAGAAAGGCAGCAAGAGAAAAAATGTCAACCACACTTTTACAGTTAAAACTTAATAATCAAAGTTTTGTGAAAATGAAATAGAACAAATAAAGACTGTACAAAACAAAATCAAGTATCTGAAAAAAAATTTATACTGTTCCAGTTCAGGTACCATGAATAAAACCAATATCAACCTGAAAATGAGAAACATTGTCTCTGGGAGAGATCTGCTCATGATCCCAATCTATCAGTTCATAGGATTAGAAAGGAGTAATCCACAAACAAGGATTACCAACCTAGAGCAGAACAACTGCTGAACTCCAAACGTCACGTTCTTTCAGGTTGTGTCTGCAGACAGCTTCATAAAATGGGTTTCCATGGTTGAGCAGCTGCATCCAAGTCTTACTTCACTTTGAGCAACGCAACTGATTAGATGCAGTGATTTAAAGCATGCCACGCCCCATTTTTGTGGTGTAGCCTGGACTTGTGGCAATCTGGGAACAGAATTTATTTTCTTTTAAAAATGACATCCTTCCAGATTTGTGGAGCACACATAACTCATTTTCACCCATTGTTGAATTATAGATTATTGCAGCCATGCTGGGTTACCATATGCTTTATGTTTTTCAGAACTACTCTTTTAGCCTGTTTGTTGGTAGAAGGACAGCCATGCCTTGGATGGACCATTTTGGACCACTTTACTATGGACACCTATAATTATATGAATAGATTATGCTTAAAATGTCAAAATGTGATACTGACTACATTATTGTTTTCACTTATATGTTCAATTCTGTGCAGTTCTTCTTCTGTTAGTCTTGTGGGTTTGTGACTACAGAGAACCCCACTAAACTATACGGCAGGGTTGCTCACAGTCAGCATCCACCATAAAGTGTTCACACCACATGCAACAAGTGAACACGTTTTTTAAATGCTTACACTTTACCATGAGACCAGCTAGACCCAAAACAAAAATGATCAACACCTTAATGTTACTTATTAACAGCTTTACACACTGGAACACACATGCACACACAAAGAAAATGAAACCTCTTGCCAACTCAGCTTTATCACCCTAAAACATGGTAAAAGTATTAATTTCCAGTGCTGCTAGCTTCATTGAGCATATTACTTTTTGAGAAAAAGTCAATGTAAAAAAAAAAAAATACAAATTGGTTGACAGAAAATGCATAAAAATGATAACTCTTAGACTACAAGTCCATTACAAATGGCAAAAAAGTGCCTCACTTGCAAACAACAGTTTCATTAGCACCGTTTTGTGAAGGAAATGGAAACTGCTGCCTGAAAATAACAAGAGGCCAACATGTTTTTGCATACATCTATCCACAGAAAATTCTATGTGCAGATCCAAACATGTTAATGTAGTGAATCAGACAATCTTGTCCTGGTTTGAAATTGCATGGTTCCTCACCCTGGCATGCTGAAATGCTATAAATGTGCACTAAATCATGTTGAAACTTGAGCTGCGAAAACAACAGAATGTCCTTCGTAGAACTATAAATGTTTTCTTACTGCAATTTTTGTTGGTCCTTCTCTGCCTCATTTGAATATATGTTATGAGATTAAAGGTAGTAGGAAAATTGTTAACATCAAGCCCAAAGACTACCTTATACCTATACAGTGTCTTGAGAGATCAGTCAAATTTGGAATTGTAAGATCTGTGCAAAGGTCTGCACTACAAAGCTCTGCAACACCCAAACACCTGGCAATTTACACCAAGATGTTTTTTTTTTCTAAATCATGACAGCACTATAAAAATTGTAATACTTTACCTCGTAGGAGTCAGTGGACTCCTATGAGATCCACTCATAGGAAACTCCTATGAGTCTGTTCCTACACACAGACTTGTAGGAATGAAAAAAAGCTATGTAGTACTGTTAGCTTTAATGTGCATATGTTTTGGGATAACATAACATTTTTTGAGCAGAGATTTGACATAATTCTGTCTGTATTTTAAATAGAATAACTATTTTCCCATTACAAATGGGAAAAAGTGCTTCAGCTGCAATGCACAAAAGTTTATTATACCGCTTTGCTGAAAAGCCTGAAAGCAGCAAGTAAAGAGGGCAACATGTTTTTGCATGTTGGCCTCTTCAGACTGTAACAGACAGATCCACACTCATCTTTTGCTGTGAATGTAGGAGAAGAAAGTCAGGCATTGAAGGGCTAGGCCTCCAAGGTGATGACCTCAAATAAACTCCATTGGTGAAACAATTCATAATTCATTTGACAACTTTATTCTGCTTCACTTCAGCTCATTCATAATAAACCTAAACATGGGTAACAAAAACCAAACAAAATTTGATAATTAACGATATCCTTAATATTTCTTTACTGTTTTTGTTGCTTAGTAAAAAAACAAAAAAAGCTTATGAATAAAAACAAAAAAGATGACATTTTGCGTTCATTGCCCTTTTGATACTAAATGTTGTTATTTTGAAATAATTAAATGGGTCAATGTTATTTAAATGTGAAATATTTTACAGGCATTTGCTCCGTTTTTAATAAATGCTGAAACATCTTAGTGGATGACTGCTGAAATGAGTAAAACATTTACTCTGTGCTTACGACACCACACTTTCTGATTGGCTACCTGTAACAGTCAACAGGCTGCGTTCTCATTCCCAGTGACTGGCTACGATAAAAGGGCCAAGACAATGTTGACTATCCCTGATTTTATGTCGGAGTTGTCCCAACACAACACAGAGTAGGTCAGAACGTTCTAAGATTGTCATAAGAGGAAAATGATGGCAGGAAATGGAAAATTGTGTCATGTGACACTCCCTCCAAACTGCCCTCTCCATCCCCAGTTTAATTGGCCGAAGAGTCACTTAAAATCGTAGTTTACTAAGATGTGTTTGTGAACAAACAGAGCTAAAACTCAAAGATTTAACTGACAGCACCAGTTTGTGGTTGAGGTAACAAAACAGTCTAATTATAAATATTGTTCTTTGAACTCTTACTAAGTAAACATGCCAGCTTTGTATCTTCAGGCCAGTTCTAAATGTGATCAGCATTATATTGTGCTCTTGGATCGACGACATGATGACTTAATTTGGATTTAACAGAATTGCAAATCACTGACATTTTTTTTAATTGTATTTTTTTTTTTTTTGGATTCTATAGTTTTGGGTTTAAGTATTGTCTTCAAGTAACTCAATTACACAGTAATATCTTATGTTTCCTGTCAACAGCTATGGTGCCCCAACCCTAGTCTTAGAACGTTTTCTGAAGACAAACCCTGCACATGCCATGCAATGTTGCAGTTTCTCACATTCTGTTGTGTGTAGGTTGGAAGGTCTGTAAAATAGTATAGTCGTATCTTTGGCAGATGATGAATTGCTGCATATTTGTTGGCTCCGTGTTGATGATACAAATATTCCACCTCACAGCATCCCAAATGTTCTTTAAAGGATTGGGATTTACTGACTTGGAGTGTTACGGGCACAAAGGCCATCAAAGAAGAATGAGTGGATACAACACCAGTAACCATTTGAAGCACTTTAGAGGCCTTTATTTTTAAAACACAAATCAAGAGTATGTGGGCACCATCCCAGACATGTAGACAGAAGCCCAGGCATGTTGGCATATACCTGGGAACCACTGAACTGACATGTGCACGCCTCCTTCTGGCCCTCTGTCGTGTGCAGTTCTCCTTCAAATATGGACCCATTGGCCCCTTCAGGTGTAGGCAACTGCTCTAAGGTGTGGACCTCCTTCAAGTTTGGGTGAGTGGCTCCTCTCCATGCCTGTGCGTCTGTCTCAAATCTCCACTTGTCTCACACTGCTCACTCGTTGGCCATGTGGAACAGAAGCCCTTGGGCCAAATAGACCAAAGTCCCCATGTGACTTTAGGACCCTCACATTCTGGTACCTTAATGGAAGCACAATTAGCAGTCACAGGAGGGCATTGGAGTACAGTGAATTCATTGTCATTTTTATCAGTGAAGAAGATTACTGACTTTTTATAGGGAGAAACTTCCGTCAAAACCGTACTTGGGATAACTGTCTGTGTCCTAGAAATACCTGATTCCTTTGGTAGCCCTTCATTGAAAACCTACACATCTGGTGTTTAGGGCCAGGAACAGGCCCTAAACACCAGAGCAATAGAGGCCCAGATCTACCACACCAGACAAGACCCAAGGTGTAGGTTGTGCAAGGAGGCCCCTGAGACAGTCCAGCACATAACAGCAGAGTGCAAGATACTGGCAGGGAAAGCGTACATGGAACGACATAACCAAGTGGCAGGCATAGTGTACAGAAACATCTGTGCAGAATATGGACTAGAAACCCCGAGATCAAAGTGGGAAAAACCCCCAAAGGTGGTGGAGAACGCCAGAGCTAAGATCCTGTGGGACTTCCAGATCCAGACAGACAGAATGGTAATGGTGAACCAACCAGACATTGTCGTAGTGGATAAACAACAGAGGAAAGCCGTTGTGGTAGATGTAGCAATACCAAGTGATTGCAACATCAGGAAAAAGGAGCACGAGAAACTGGAGAAATACCAGGGCCTCAGGGAAGAACTGGAGAGGGCCTGGAAGGTGAAGACCACAGTGGTGCCTGTGGTCATCGGGGCCCTCGGGGCAGTAACCCCAAACTGGAGCAGTGGCTACAACAGATCCCAGGAACAACATCAGACATCTCAGTCCAGAAATGTGCAGTCCTTGGCACAGCCAAGATACTGCAGGACCCTCAAGCTCCCAGGCCTCTGGTAGAGGACCCGAGCTCAGAGGATAAGAACCACCCGCGGTGGGTGAGAAGGGAATTTTAATTTTTATATATATATACTTTTAAGTGCATATGAAAACAGAACTAACAATACCAAGAATAGCAGAAACTTTTTAATAATGTGCAACTAAGTAGCACAACTTTGTCAAAATGTACATAACGTGCATATTGAACTGTAAATATATAACAGGAAATGTACAATCCAGTGTGTCGGTGTAGAGAAAGCGCTCTGCAGTAATAATGGAAATGTTTTTATCAAACATGTCTAAAAAACTGTGCAATAGTTTTTGAGGCATGTAAATGCCAGTAGGGAAGTAAACATTTCTTGATTTTGTTTAGAGCAGTGATTTTATTGACCAATTTAACAGCAGAATTTATTTTTTCGTACCTTAATTTTTTAAATGCTTTAAATGAATTTAAAAGAGGCAGAAATGAATTGTGGGCAGGTTCTGTGGAGCATTCTGATGTCACATAAGCTGACTTGTCATCAGGCGCTTTTGGAACTTTTGTCAATAAGAGCCGAGTTCCTACAGGAATTCATCCATTTGAAGAGTTAGACGTCGGATAGATTACTTCAAAAAATTCAAGAAATTGAACTGAGCTTCAGTTTTTCGAGTAAGTATTTATTTAGAAATTAGTGAAGCACAG